GCGACGGCCAATCCGCCCGCTTTACACAGGCTTATGGTGGGAGGGGCCGGGCGGGAGGAGGAAGGAGTTGATGGGTTGGACTGGTGTGATTAATTGCGCAGTTTTCATTTTTGATTATTTGGGGTTATTTGGTTCATGGGCCAGGCCGTACAGTGGCGCTCGCTGTCGCGGTGGGGCTGCGACTGTTTGCAGGCGGGAATCTGGATTCGTGCGTCGGATCGCGATTCGTTGGCTGACGACGGCTCTCGCCTGCAGTACCGGCCTGTCCCGCCGGAGCCTCGAAGCGATGACCGGCTTTTTTCAGTAAAGGCACTACAGTACACTAGTTACGAACGACTATAGTACATTGTTGTCTCCGCCCCTCGCTGCATTTCTGCATTGCATTCAGGTAAAGACACTACGGGAGTTCTGTACCGCAGTGTAATTTACGACGACCTTGTTGTTGTGCTCCGTCCTTCGCCCCCGCTTCCTCGGCTCACCTTCCTCGGCACCGCTTCCTCGGCACACCTTCCTTACCACCTCTTCCGTCGTTGAACGCGGTTTGTAGACTGAGGCGAGCTACACGCTAGCACAGTCTGGCGTGGCGCCAACCTTGCCTTCTAGAGGCGTGCCCGAGTAGGATGGGAAGGGTGTTCTCAAGGGGAAAGGAATAGCGACAACGAATAGAAAGGAGGGCTAGGCGGAGCACCTTAGCGGGCGGAGAGGCCACCAGCTTGCTGCTTTACTGTACCATTGCTACCATTGGTACAGTACTTGTCTCTCCTATTCTACCCTCATGCGATATGCTGTGCTGGGACGGCCTCTCAGAGCCCACACACACGGCTCTCACACATTTATCCTCCTCCTGTGGCAATTCTCCCACAAAAATTCAAGGAAATAGTTTAAACAGTTTAAACAGTTTATTAATGTCTAGAAGAGCCTACGGCCGGCTCTTCAAACCCAACGGAACCTCCGCGTAATCGGAGCCCTGTTCTTGGAGCGTTCTGCGTAGACACGTCTGTTCAAATCTGCCTCCGGGGCAGACCCACGCGCTGGTCGCATGCGGCTGTCCGTCATACACTGTAGCCATCGACTTTGTGGTAGCATCCGCCGACGTATCCCGTGAATAAAATGAGATAAGCCATCGACATCTATTTTGTCACCGCGCTTCCTCGGCACACCCTCCGCGGCACAGCAGCCGCCTTTGTCATCCGCTGCCAGAGTAACGATAGAACCACGCTCCTAATTATTCAAACGTTGCAGCTTGACGTTCCGGCGAAGCTCACCGCTACTGTACCAGAGATGAACGGCCGCCTCATGGTTTTTTGATGACTACAGTACCCTTGGGTACCTTCCTGATCGTGACGTGCCTCGCTCGACCAGTGAAAAACATAATGAAAAAGTAAAGGAATCCCTTGGCGACGTGTCGACGAACCGGAACGTGTTGCGTGAGGCAGCTCGACGACCGATCCTTTGCGGCAGTGGGCGTCCGCCGCCAACGGCCTTCGCTGTAAGCGGCGGCGGCCCTACACCCGCCCCCACCGTTTACGGCATGCCTTTTACAGCAAGCACCGTCTCACCATTGCAGTCGCGATCGGCAGAGCCTGTCGCCATGCCGGCGCGGCATGCATGGCGCCAGGTGCTGGTCCCAGGACCAGCTGTTGACAGCTGATGATGAACCTTACAACGGTACGCGTAGCACACGTGTACAGCATGTACACCCATCACCTGCTGTCGGAGGACAGGCGACAGTGCAAGTAAGAGAGTACACGTACTGTAGAGCAGAGGCGATCCTAGAGGGAAGAGAGGGGGATGAAAAAGGAGTACCCTTGGGTACTGTAGCTGCTCTGACCCGTTCCAGAGTCCGGGATGATTCATGCACGAATCTCCCTATCATACCACTCATAACTTGTACCTTGTTTATTGGACAGTTCGATGTTAATCTTTGAAGGAGACTCCATTTTCAACCAAACGGCTCGTTCTGTTCGGCTCGTTCTGTTCTTTCTGTTCTGTACACCAGCGACCGGTTCCCAGCGACCGCAGCCGCCCCCCGCGTCCGCGCATCACCGCCGCGTGCCTGCCTGCCCCGTCACGACGCCCGCCTGGCATCCGCCAAGGCCCAAGCCCGCGCGGATGATGCGGAGGAGGTAAACTTTCCGTGCCGTGCCGCGCCGCGCCGCAAAGCAGAAAGCCCTCGCCCCCGGCACCACGCAAGCCTAATTTACTGTAAATTACATCACTCTTGAATTTGTTCAAACTTTGAACAAATTCAAGGGTGATGTAATTTCAACTTCAAACGCCCCTTACAGTATCTCAAAGTTTGCCGCACAGCCCCAACAAACGCGAACAAACGCGAACACACGCGCCCGCCTCGCCCGCTTGCGTTTGCGCATGACGTCGCCGGTGCAGGCTGCATGCCGCCTCCCGCCGCCCGCCGCGCGCGCCCCGCCTGTGCGCGCAATACAGTACATACAACGGTACCACTCGAGGGGTGCAGCACACGGGCCGCGTGCGCGCGCGCCACGCCCGGCAATCACCTTCGCCTGCCCCCCCCCCGTCACGCGCGCGCGCGCGCGCCACGCCCGCAAGCGCCGCCGTAAGCGCGGTCATTGTAAAAAAGGTCATTGTAATCGTGATCGCGCTTCGGAGCGCGGCCGCCAGGCAGCCGTTTCGAAACTGCGACGTTCGCGCGCGCGCGCGAAGGGTGGCGCCCGCCCCCTCGCCTGGCGACTTGTGGCCCGCCGCGTAGAGCTGCGTACATACAGTGCACCCCACCACCGCATCCACAAGGCGCCGCCCGCTCGCGACAAACACCCCCACCCCAACCCCCACCCCCCCAGCTCTCGTCCACGTCAAGCGCGCGTGCTCTTGCCACACGCACCAGGCACGCCCGGCCCGCACGCATGGCCCGCTCAGCCTCGCAAGAGAAACCATACGTGACCGAATATAGAAACTGCCCACAGCCGCCACCGCTTGCCGGTGCCCCAAACATTCAGATCACTTGGCGCTCCGCCTGCGAGCAAAACGCCGCACAAGAAAATATTTATATATATATATCCCCTCAAACAGTTGCATCCCATCCCCTCAACAATTGCGTCCCATCCCTCCCCGCCCCCCTCCGCACCGCATTGCTGCACCACAACACGCCCGACGTTCTGTACCCGTGGTCCTGTACGCAACTTGCGCACAGTTGCCTGACAGTGCCGTATCGTACACCGCGGGGCAGTGCGCACGGCAAGAATACATACGTGGACAGGAGAGGGATGCGCGGTGTCAGATGCGCGGTGTGAGAGATGCGAGGGGAGAGATGCAAGGGGAGAGATGCAAGGGGAGAGATGGAGGGTGTGAAAGTCTCGGACCGACAGAGACGCATGCCTTGCGGGACTGGTGACAGTCACTGTTTGTTGAAGGGCAGGTTGCTTTTTTGCGGTGTGTGCACCAGTTTGAATTTTCTTATTGCGGCGGCGTTGCCCTTAACAGCAGGCCGCCTCCAGTCAAAAAAAGATGGGGACACTCGAGAGAGTGGGGTGGGCGGGAAAGATTGATGATTTCATTGTCTGTTGCTTGCAGGTGAGGGGACGTGTTTGGGCTCTTGAAAGTGTGGATGGGGTGTATCTTTGAAGGAGGTGTGCAGGTGAATGAAAGCCATCGTTGCCTTTATTCTTATACTTGCTTGTACCCTTGGGTACCGTATATGTGAATGTGACTGTGTGTACAGTAGTGTACCCTTTACTGAATATATACGGTGTTATTGTTAGTAGAGTACTGTACAGGGGCAGGTAAGGGTTGTCTGTGGCAGCAGTGTACACGTAGAAGAAAGGAATTAAGTGTACTGTTAAGGTGGACAAGGTGAAGGTGGTGGAACGGGAAGGTTGAATTTTTTTAAATTTCCACTGCACAACGCTTGAATGTCTATTTCAATAATGGTGGTTTGTACTGCACGCAGTAATGTTTAACCGACCGGTGGGTCTCGGTGCTTCTATTTTTTTTTTTTTTTTTTTTTTTGCGTCAGCACCCGTGAACCTCGGAGCGATCTGTGCAACCCTGTCTCACCGTCCTGCGATGGCACCGTTGGGGCGAACAGGTGGACTCATTCACTTGTGCAAGTGCAGCAAGTGTGGTAAAGTCCACTGTCTCGCGACGCGAAGGACCATTTTAAACTAATATCGTGGTAGCACGGTAGCTAGTGGCGAGGTTTAATTTTATTCGCAAAAGTCAAACACCTCTTGAGAGGTGGCCTTGTGTTTATAATGCTTGCTGAGATTTGCAAACATTATTATAAATAAACACAAGGCCACGGGTTGTCCTTTTGGAATTCTTCCGCAACTCTCGCCTTCCCAAGTGCTGTACAGACATATATCATTGCTTGCTACAGTATTTTGTTTTTGTGAATCCAGCTGTACGCCGTACGAATACTTGATTTACGCAGAGTTGTTTGTAAGCAAATTTTGGCCTGGGGCAACAACACTCGCCAGACACAAGGCAGTTTTGCAGCCCCACTCATGATTCGTCAAGTTGATTTCAAGGATGCGGAAGAAAAGGACAGTCGTGGTGAAGGGGGGGATACCGGTATCCTACACAGTGGGGAAAGTGTAACGACATTTGACATGTATTCCGTTATTATCTGGCGTTGCAAGCAGAGAAAGCGTTACAGGGTTAGAAAAAGTGTAGAAAGCGGACATGAACCGAGCACTCCGGGCGCGAACACGTGTTCTATACTGTAGGGGGCGTCATACTGATGAATGATTGTTTTGACATGAGAAGGTCGTGGTTTGAGAACGTAGTGCTTCGAGAAGGTAGAGGGCCTGCTGGTGCTGATGCATGAGAGGGATACCGTAAATGTTGACTTTTGACTTTACGGCGACCGTCGCAACGTCAGCGTAAAGGGTCAAGGTGCTAAAAAGCGGTAATTTTTGGGGGCGGTACATGGCGGTACATGCCCCCGCCCCATTACGATTGTGAGACGGAGGCACAAAGTGCCCGCCATTGGACAATTTAAATTTTGTTTTCCACAGGGGAACATGCCTCCACGCCACTCTCTCCACGCCACTCTCTACACGCATCACTGTACAGCACAGCAACAACACGAAAACCGCACACCGACAAGGCCACCTTCGACAAGAGGGAAAACAACACACACACAATCACACCCACACACACTTCACCTTCATCGCTCCTCACTTCTATACACACCACACAACCAACCTCACCTACAATACGCGCTCGCCGCCGCCGCCGCCGCCGCCGCCGCCGCCGCCGCAGCCTCCAGCGCCTTCTTCTTGGCCCCGCGCTTGCTCTCCCTCTTGGAATTCACCCTGGAATAAATAAAGCACTGGCTCCTTCCCTCGGGGCACACGCCCCTGCAATGCACGCACACCCACTCCGCCTGCCGCATCGCCTCGTCCCAGTCCCACCCAAACTTCTGGAAGCACTTGTAGCACGTCACCTTGCGGCACAGGCCCTCGCCGATCCGCGCGCACACCGCAAACTTCACCGCCTTCGACGTCCGCGCGCACACGTGGCAGTGCGAAGACGGCGTCGGGTTCGAGTAGTACTTCTTGTACGGCCGCCGCCCGCGCCCCTTCGACAACATCCTCCCGCTCTGCCGCGACTCTGTCGACACCCCCATCTGCCCGCCGAGCCCCGCATACTCCTGCCTTGCGCCCTCCTGCGAGTCCTGAGCCTGCCTCACCCCCACCATCCCCACCGTCCCGCTCGTCATCACCGTCGTCGCCGCACCCGCCGTCCCACCGTTTCCGACCATCGCGTGTCCCATTATCCCTCCCCAGCTGCGGTTCCTGTCTCCCTCGCTTGGTCTGCAATTTCCCGACCGAAACCCATTCACAGACCCCAGCGCCGGCAGCAGCGCCGGGCTGAATGGCGGCGTCAGCGGCTCCGTCATCGGCAGCGCTTGGCACTCCACCCCCAGTTTCAAGCTGGGCATTCGCTCCCACTGCGCCTGCATCACGCCCGGAAGCCGCCGCGGCGGCGACGAGCTCAGCGGCGGCAGCGGGTCCACGTTCTCCGAGAGGAGCTCACTCACGCGCATCGCGAACGGCCGTTGTCGTCGCGACGCTTCGCATGCGCTGCTGCTCGGGGGGGAGACACTGGCGCTCGCACTAGCCGATGAGCCAGAGAACTGGTCGGAGCGCCGCCCGGAAGAGTCTTCTTCGCGGTAGCGCGGGGGGAGGGCGTACATTGGAGGGGACGAGCGGGTGGTGGAGGTAAGCGTGTGTACGGGAGGGAGAATCGGTTGTGGTTGTTGCGAGTAGAAGGTTGAAGAGGAGGGCGCCCCAGGGCGGGATAAATGCAACATGGCTTCTACTGCGCCTTTTTCGACAACGTTCATCGAAGGCGGGGACAAGGTGAAGGGGAAAGCAGGGAGGAGGGGTGGAAGGGAGGGGAAGGGGGTAGTTGTAGAGAAGGGGGGATGGGAGGACGTGGTGAAGATCTAAGACTGTGACAAGAGTTGAGGAGAGGGGAGGTGGGTGGTAACGGGGGTCGGTTGCGGCGCAGCGGATGGATAAGAGAAGAAATAAATGCCGCTCACTCGGACAGGAGAGATAGAGGGGCCAGTGATGAGAAAACTCGTGACTAGTGGGCTGAGAGGGTGAGGAGGGAGTGGGGATGGTGGAATTTGTGCGAACGGGTCGGAAGGTTATGGGTGATGTGGGTGCGGTATGTATGCAGGTGACTGAATCGGTGATGGAAACGGGTTAATTGATGGAGTGGATGGACAGGGAGGGAACGTGAGGGAGGGTCACCTCTCTACAGGGCACAGGTGTAGAGTACAGTAACAGTACAGGTGGGTCGGAAGGTGCTTACGGCAAAATCAATGTAGAGCCGGGAATGAGTGCAGAGGGTGATGCGGGTTGGCGAGACGGGTTTGCTTGCGGGCGACGTGACACGTCAGTAAAAGGAGTTGCCTGTCGAAGATGCGGGAAAAATAGGAGCAGATCGACGTCTGAGGAGGGGGGTGAGCAGCAGTGAGCGGTGTGGATGTGAGGGTTTTAGCAAATTGTGAAGGTGGGGGTTTAGTTGTGTGTGTGCAGGGGCCAAATTTGTTACGAGAAAGGCAAGGGAGTGCAAGTGTGAACCCTCGATAGCGTGATTGGTAAGCAAGGATGATGATGATAAAGATGGCACAGTAGTGGTGTGTATATTTCTCTGACAGTCGCATGCACATAAAAGTATCGCAAGGTATGAGGAGAAGGATGGGCGTGGATTGTGGTCTAAGATTTAAACTAGACGAAAAAGAGCAGAGAAAGGAAGGGCGGTGGGGAAACGTGAGAAAGTCGCCAGGTGAATTCAGATATGAATACGGGAGAAGGGGGGTTGTTTTAAAAGTTGAGATCTTTGCTGCCTGGACTGCGTGGAATTGCAACGGATAAATATGGAGGCGGGGAAACGGGCAAGTTTGTAAGGCGAGGTTCAAGTTTGCTAGTCCGGATGCATCAAGCAAATGGCCACGTTTGGGACATCAAGCAAGGCGAGTTATGAGAGATGCTGAACGGAGGATGCAAATTGTTCCCCGTCTTGATGCCTCATCAAATCAATTTCCTCGAGTTGCAACCACTGACACTCACTGACACCATTCATACTTTGCCTTTTTGATATCCTTGCTCAACTTTGCTTACGGCTTTTCCACGTAAACTATCCCACCCTGCTTGATCTCTTTTGTTTTTGTCCGTTTTCCCTCTTCAAAATTTCAATCCACCCCGGATCATTTCTCCTCTCTCCTCTCCCTATTTGCCCTCACGACCTCCCCCCCCACCCCCACGACATCCATGTGATCTCCTCCACACTTTCCTCGTGTTTCATATGAGAAACTCTCCTTCCGCGGGTCCCCTCCCGACGTCATCCTACGGGATCACCCTGCCCCCTTTCTCTATTGTTCAACTACTGTACCCTTGGTACTACTGTACCCTTGGTACTGTACAAGGTGTTCTTCGCATCCTCCTCAGAGGGGGCCTCAAACACTTCGCCACAGAAGAATGAGGAATACCGCCAAGCACAATATTACCACGTATATTTTTTTATCCTTCCGCAATAACATAATCTTTTTTTTCACGGCTCGTTGAAAGTCTCTCAATAATATGCACATTGCCATCATACTCGAGTATGAGTACAAATCGTTTGGGGTACAATGGGTAAGTACTGCAGCAATTCATCCCTTCAACATTTTGCCAGCAAATGCAACGTGGAGCACACGCGCTATTGTCAGGCCATCGTCGTTTTGAATTATTCTACGCTTCCATCTTTAAACCTTCCCAACAATAATATTGTCAAAGTTCCGATTCCATGCCATGCCATCACATGAATCAAGACAGAAATGAAGATTTCCATCCCAATTCACTCCGCCCACTCGCTTCCTCCCACTCGCTTCCTCCCACTGCGGAAGAGTTGGAGCCTCACAGCCATGGGGAACATCTCGTCCATCTGCTGGAACTCATTCACAATCGCGCCCAAAGGAAGAACACTGGTGTTGACAAAATCTTAGTTCGTTAATCCGAGTCTCGCGGTTTCTGGGCTTGCTGCGTTCATCTAACGTTGTTTTCATCTATTACTGCGCTTGCCGTTCCCCTAATGCAAAAACAGAAACGTGCCGTTGTGTCAATTCACTCACCTGCTCGTGCCCCTCCGTGCGAAGTGAGGGTTTCCCGCCGACTCTTTCCATAATGCCGATTTTTTATTCTCTCGGCACAGTACAATAATACTGTACAGAACAATATGTGCAACCCTGCATGTTGGTTGAGGACAAACAATCCATTGCCGCGCCAGAACTGACGTCGTCATACTTCACTCGCAGGCCGCACTTGCGTGAATAAGGAGCCCTAGGCTAGGCTTCGAAGCAGAAACGTAGACCAGCATGCTACCGTTTCACCATACGTGCCCCTGCACCACCTACACTGCCTTGCCCTTCAGCAAACGACACCGCCTCAATGACGTCAACGTTCATTCTTGTGAATTTTCTGAGCGATGACCGCCTTGGATAGGGCGCAAGCTAAAGCTTTACTCGTCCGTTTGTCAATGCCCATCAAATGAGAGGTCGTCCACCCGGCGCACGCTCTCAGATAGACGAATCTCAACAGATCACAATCCCAGGCGAAAACCGTCTGACAGTCGCGAACAATTCCAAACCATCATTTCCTTCCGTTGCATGCCCTATCAAAAAGTAATAACCGCTTCGCGAAGGGTATGCTGCTGCTCCCCTAACGATAACAAAACTTCTGCTGCTTGGGAGCTCGCAGAGACATGGCGACCAGACACAATCTCTTCGCTTACCAATCACAATAAACAGTGACTCGGCCAGATATAAGTGGTGATCAGCTGATCGAAAAAAAAAAAGAACGTCAAACAGGGAAATTCCGACCATGCTTCGTCGTAATGTCGTTTCAGCACCATAACACCAATTCAACTAAGTCGGCAGGACACAAGCCAGGCCCTCGCCTACATGACCAATACAATCTGCCGTGCTGTGTTGCCACAATGAATCTGGTCGTCGAGGATGGTGGAATTCTATTGCCACAGTCCACCGCTTGATGCGCGTTGTCCCCCAACAGCATCATTCAATCGCTGCGACCCAGTTCCATCATCTCACGTCAGTTCCTGACCACAGACGAGGACGGACGGATATACTTTGCAACATCATTCACTCCAGCAATCGGCCATGCAGCCTTGCGAACGAGCCGGACAATCAGCCTGTAGAATGAGAAACCACGCAATGACACATGGATCGCCCTCGTGGTCTCTCTTCGCCATCGTCGTAGTCAGGTGTATCGCGATGAAGATACCTTGACGACTGCGTATCCTTTAGCCTCGTCGGGCCACAGTAGTCGAGAATTCCGACCCGGCACTATCCTTCGGTAATTCCCCCCCCGGATACGCACTGTGTCATGCCCTCGTATCATGATCAACCGAGAGGTTTGCAAACATGTGTTCACGTTGGCAGCTTACCCATTGCCACGTCCCCCGCGCTACGCTCCTTCGTAACTTACCTTGAATTGTACAATATCCCCAGGCGCGCCGGTCACATCTACAGTCAGTATTGTTGATACTATAGTTGCTGTACCTTTTAGTTTTTCATCACTTGAGCAAGGGTGAAAATCGAGCTGCTGTACAGTGCTTCTCCAATCCACCTCGCAGCCCGGACGCTCCATACGATGTCTGCCAGTCCAGTACAACTTGTACGCAGTCGCCAGAATGCTGTCATCAGGAATAGCCCTTATGTTTAAGGTTGTATGCTGTCTTGGGAGAGAAGACCGAAACTGAAGTATGTTTTTAAGTCGTCAATAAATCTGAATGCAAAAGAATACAGCGAGAGCATAACTGTTGTCTACGTTCTTTTTTTAAAAGTGCGGCGAGCGCGTACTGTATGAAGTCAGCCGCCTTCTGGTCACCGTCGATCAACATCAGGCGGAGTTACTGCCACTGCCACTGCATCCAACCAGTTTCAACCAGTTTCATCAAGCAGCGTCGGGCGCATGCGCGTGCGACGGTAAAAACCAAAACACGAGGGTACTGTCCTAGCAGTCTGGCGCTTCGCACTTGTCCGTGCCCAATCGGTTACATGACCTTTTAGACTTGATGCCAACATTAAGAAGCCTGCGCTACCGCCACCCGCCGCCCGCCCAATGCTCAGTCTTTTGAGTCTGTTGCCTATCTGCAAAGGACACGAAAGCTTGTAGTGATACTGCCTTGCACCCTGGTGTACGTAAGGGAGCGCAAGACTTGTGTGAGGTTGGGGCCCCTAGCACGAGCAACGAGGTAAGAATATTTGTGGGCTGCCAAGTTGCGAAAACTGTTCCACTCAAGTCAATGTGCCAGATCTCCTGCGTCTGTTAGTGCTCCATGCTGTACCAAACATGCAATGTCATTTCCCAAGCAAAATGGGCTCACGAAAAGTTGCTGAACACCTTTCTCTCGAGGGACACAGGCGTGCCACCTGAGCGGGAGGGCGACGTTTGTAATTAGCCAATGTCGCGAGGCACAGAATCGAAGTTGAGCCGCTCTCGAGAGTTGGTGCTGACCACTGACCAGATTGCAATCCTGTGCAGTGCAATGCAGTGTAGTGCGCAGTGGTCGAAACGTTGCTCCACCGCACATTAGAATTCTGCCGTCGCGCCTGCTGATCTGATTCATACCCACAGTATTCACCACATTTCCACATAAGCAACACTCTTACAGTACAGTATTGCGCGACTTCATGGAGGAGACTCCAGAAAGGGTTTTGCGATGAAGGTTCATGAAAGAGCATGTCTTGCTGTCTCTCTGCCTGGTGAGATCGCAGGACGCTTTATCGTAAGAAACATGCGTAGCGTGTGGTGCGGCGACTATGTTCGGTATGGATTCAATGCGTGGACCTCAGATGTACGTGCAGCAATGTGCCAGGCGATCTCCATGTTCGTCCGTTCCTAACGACGAGCACGGTGAGCAACTCGCACGCAAGGCACTGCTACAGAATTTTGCGCCGGGCCGCGGTGCGTATCACGGGGTACAAAAAGTCGCACGTGTACAGCAGGTACGGTATATTCTTCACCCCCAAACTGCGTCAGCTTGCAAAACCTCTAAACACGATAGACCCGGCGCAGATAGAGCCGCAACCCCTGCGCAGGAAGGCTAGTGGTTGACCACTGACCTCAGCTGTTATGCGGTGTTAGTTCTTTAACAGTCTTCATGAATGCAGCTATGACTGTCTGGTCATAGCGTCGCTTGGATTCACCAGTCATAATCAAGGATGCGGAGCTAGATATGCGTTCCACCTCAGCAGAGCTCATTAGCTCAGTTTGTTTGAAGTTGCTGTACAGTATGTGGAATTTACGTCTGCCACAAAAGTCCTCTTCAGCTGACCGCTTCTCCCACTTGAGCGAAGGGTAAGTAAACGTCTGTGCGTTACAATTTTCCTCCATTCAGTACAGTAGTTTTGGGCACAACTGACCTCAGTTGAGACTGTGGAAACAGGTCTATCAGCCCTCTACTGTCGAGAGATGGACTCGGAGATGAGTACAGTTCATGTTTGTCGTGAAGTGCTCTGTGGCTGGAGGACGTGTGGTGATGCAACGACATCCTGTGTGAATAAAGTAAGGGGAAAGGTAAGCGGTGGCTGTGTACCGCAGATCATAAATGTGGTAGGAAGGAGTCTTAGTCACATGTGGGAGCGAACGAAGTTGTTCACACTCTATATCCTCACACCTTGCAATATGTGGGTTCTGTCTGATCAACTGAACGCTCGTTGGCACAGTACAATGTGGTACAGTGACCTCGGCGCCACGCCGAGGTCAGCCTCGGGCCGTACTGGTGCGTTGGTGCGTTGGTGCGATGGACACTGCTCTGAGAATGTGTGGGATTTTAGCAAAATGGGCTCCGTGCCGCAAGCTTTGTGCGCACCGTATGACAGTAGACGCGTTGTGAGCATGCCCCTCTAACATGCTCACAGCTACATATCTCGGGGAAGTCAGTATTATTTATGGGTGGGCACGTGGACAGGCGACTGTTCGCTGCCCCCTTGCAAGTAAGTGAGGCAAGCCGTCTGAAAGCGACTAATCACGGCGGATTGGGCAGTGTGCTTTGGAAGTGAGAAATGAGGAGCAATAGCGTATAACATAGGGGGAGAATCTCGAGTACAGAGTGGCATGCATACACACGTCAGGCGATGGATAGGCGCTGTTTCTACTGTGGGTATCAAAAATGAGCGGGACGACTGTCGATTCGCGCGTCAAGTCGTCCGATAGCGGCGCTCGCTACGGTGTCGGAGCAAATTACATGTTAATACTGGACCAGCGCTGCATGATACACTGTAGGCGGACGAGTCGAGGGGGGGGGGGGGGGGGGGGTGGCGGGCGGGGGAACGGTACACGGGGATACCACGAGATGGGACGTTACCGCGTGGTGATACAGTAGACTGAGCAATCTGTTGGCATGGGTATCTGGGTGGGTAGCGAAAAGAGATGGAAGGTTTAGGGTTATGCCGCCTGTCCTGCTTCTGGGGAGGCCCTTCGAAATGCAATCAGTCGTTGAGAGAGAGTAGGTTGCCAGGATAGCGAGAGCATGGCAAAGGTGGCGAAACCAAGGAGTGAAGAGGTGCTGTGCACCCCCTATGCATGTGGAGTGTCTCTAGTAACTATTGGACCTTTGTCCTCATATGAGGACATTATTCGACCTATTTTTATTCTTTACTTCCACCTCCTCTTCGACAAAAAAAAAGATACCCCCGCCACCGTATTTGACTTCTGACTTGGGAACAGAACTATTTTGTGAGAATTGCATGTTCTTCGTGGTCGTTTTTAGATACGTCTGGAACCAAAAACGCCATTTTAAAAATGGAACTATGTACTCAATCTGCATTACATTCTTAATTGTTCTGCATATTCAAAGCGTGTTTCATGTGTGTGGTTTTGCGAGATGTTATTGGCGAAAACAAGTGCGTTAGGGAAATAGTGTCCAAAATAGCTTTTTTAATATACAATTTAAGTTATGAATTTTTGCAAAAAAAAGAGCTGTCCTCATAATATGAGGACAGCTCTTTCTCATATTATGAGAACAAGCCCCCCGTCGGATGCCCTTCGAAGGGGGGTAGACAATAGTACGGTAGTAGACGACAAGCGATTTGCCTCATATGGAACCACCTGTTTCTTTTTGCAAAAATATTTACATTAAATCACAAATCCAGAAGTGATTTTGAACAGCTACCGTACATGCCCTCGGCAGTAACATATTGCAAAAAAATGGGATAGCGGTTGTGAATACAAAGAAAGACAGATTCTAATGAAGTTTTAGTCCCGGTTGACATTTTAAACAGGCATTTCGGATTCGAAGATATCAACGCATAACGTTTTGAGGTTGGTCAAAAAGGCTTCTTTTTAGGCATTCTAAAAATGGCTGGGAAAGACGTGCAGATCTCGCCTAACTCGATCCTTCCGCAACGTACAAGTCAACTACTGTGGCGAGAGTATCTTTTTCCTTCTTGTTGGGCAAGCACAAGTCGAGGAAAAATAAGTTGAAAAGTAGCCTCACATGAGGACACGAGTCGTCTAAACACTACTCTCAAAAATGGTCGAGAGAGCAAAAGGAAAATGCCGACCCCCAGGATCGAACTGGGGACCTCAAGAACTTCAGTCTTGCGCTCTCCCAACTGAGCTAAGTCGGCGACACACTTCTGTCATGAAGCGGAAAATACTGAGAATTTAAACACATTTTTATAATGGAACTCGGGCCTTACAGTGGAGCGTTTTTTTAATTGAAAATAAGCGATGCGTTTAAGTGATAAATAGAGGTTATGTGGCGGGCTTAGATTAGAGACGCGCTCGATCCAGCAAGGGCAAGTTTCGTAATGTGGCCTAGTACACGTACACAACTCGCTGCTATACCCGCCAGCATACCGTCCCATCTCCCCGACTTTTTGATCGCCTGCTGATGTGGCGAGTAGTCCAGAAAAAGCGTCATTGAATAAAAATTAAGCAGCGAGTGGAACTGCAAGTGCGCATTGGTGTCGCTCGTGCTCACCCGCTTTGTGGCTGTTATTCAAACTGCATTTCAGACTCCTTGTGGCTGAGATTCAACTCGCCCGGACGCCTCAACCCTGATTCCCGCTTCTTTTTTCCATTAATTCACAAACCGCGAGCACTCGATCCGAATCTTAACAATCCCACTCTCGAATCCGTTTACCCCCGTCTCCCTCTCCCGCATCCTCAACTGCTCCCATGCCCGCCATGGCTTTTGTCCCCTCCTTGCACGCGCGTCTCCCAACGCAAACCTCGACCCTCTCCCCCCGCCGCTGCGCCCACCCCCAGCGCTGCGCCCACCCCCAGCGCCGCGCCCACGCCCCCGCCCCCGCCGTCACCATGTCCATCGCATCCTCCAAAGCCCTGATCTTCGACTGCGACGGCGTCATCGTCGAGTCCGAGGAGCTGCACCGCCTGACCTACAACCAGACCTGGAAGTCCGAGGGCCTGGACTTCGAGTGGGACTACGCCTTGTACGGCGTCATGCAGAACTCCATCGGCGGCGGTCGCGAGAAGATGCGCTGGTACTTCGACCAGAACGGCTGGCCCGACGGCTCCCCCGTCGACTCCCCGCAGCTCGCCACCCCGCGGGAGGAGCTGCTCAACCATCTCGTCAAGCGCAAGTACGAGCACTACCGTGACGCCGTCATCAACGGTGAGGCCTTGCTCCGCCCGGGCATCCACCGCCTGGTCGACGAGGCCCACGCGCGCGGCGTGCGCCTCGCCATCTGTTCCGCAGCCAACAAGAACTCGTGCGAAATCGTCCTGGACAACCTCATGGGCAAGGAGCGTCTCAAGAAGTTTGAGTTTGTTCTGGCCGGAGATGTCGTCAAGCGAAAGAAGCCCGACCCCATGATTTACAACCTGGCTCTGGAGAAGCTCGGCGTGCGCGTAGGGGACTGCGTCATCATCGAGGACTCGGAGATTGGCCTGCAAGCAGGCATCCAGGCCGGCATGAAGGTCGTCGTCACACACACCCCGTACACTGCCGACCAAGACTTCAAGGGCGCCGCCGCCGTCTTCCCCAGCCTGGGCGAAAAGGAGGGTGACACCTTCGTCGACGTCGACCTTCTGTTTCCGGATCTCGTCGGCGTCCCAGCCTCCGTATAGCCGTCCGTCGTAGCCTCAGTTTTTGCATACCTACTAGTTGTTTTGAAACCGTGCTTGTCCCTAGGTCATCGGCAGCACTTGCTGCAACACCTCCTCCACGCGCTCCTCCCCTCCAAGCCTCCCCCTCTCCCGCGCCACCTGCACCGCTTCTGCCGCCAGCATCGTCACAAGATTCTCGTTCTCCTCCCTTTCCGCGGTGGCCGTTGACACGACCACCCGGATCCCGTCCGCCCCCACGTTGCGCCGAATCGCCTCCCAGTGGTAGCGGCGTCCATGCCGCTCCCCCGCAAAGTACTCGTCGCCCGAAGGCAGCACGAGCACAACCCCCTGCGCACGGCCCTCCTCCAAAAAGCGCAGCACCACGTCGGCGCCGGAGCCGTGGCCCAGAAGCACGTCGCCCGGGGACGTTACCTCGCGCAGCGTAGACAGCCACACGCGCTCCCAGCGTTTGGAGTTGGACGCATACGGATTGGGGACGGACGCGATGGACACCGGGACGGGAAGACATGAAGACAGCCAGGCGTACCAGGGGGGGCGGTGCGGGGTGAGATGGTCGGGGACTAGCACTACGCCCGAGGCTTTGCAGGTCCAGGGAGGACGGAGGTGGGCAGGACGGAGGTGGGCAGGACGGAGGTGGGCAGGTCGGAGGTGGGGGGCGAGGGAGAAAGCCGACGACATTGCTCGGAAACGTCAATAGCCGTTTCGGGGGGTGGATGGGGGGCCGGGATTCGGCTGAACTGCAAATACTGTAGTAGGCCTTCTGTTTCTTCCTTGATTCAAAACTTGCAGGCGAGATCACAGCCCGTGGCCAGTGGCCAATGGCGTCTCTACAGCGACGTGCTGGGACCAATGGGAAGCGGCCATATTCGCCAAGTGGAAGATGTCTCGTAGTGATGTTCTGTGCCACAGGCGCCCCCCAAAGCGCTGCACAGGTGGCTTGTATGTGCGTTGTGCGGGACCCATCCGGCCGTACGCATCTCAACGCACTTTTGAACACAGACCTCTTCCCTCCCGAATCGCGCCGCAGCCACCACCCCCCCCCCCCCTCTCAGGCCATGCCCCGGAGCCTCCGCACGCCGCCCTAACGTCTGCCGCCCTCCTCTCCCGCCGCCATGGCGCTCACGTCGAACCGGTTCGTGCACCCGTACTACGCGCTAAACGGGCTGCTGTTCCTCGCCTACGCAACTCTGCGCGTGCAGCGCCTCTCCGGCGGGGAGCTGTCCGCGACGGACATGTTCGGCATCACGCGCGAGGCGCAGATCTACTTCTCGCTGGGGCTGATGCTGTTCACGCGCGCGCTCTCCGCGCCGACGCTGGACGCGTACCTGTCGTCGGCGTTTATGTTTTCGCGCGTGGCCGTGCTGGTCTGCCTGTGGTTCATGGACTCTCGGCTCGCGGTGATGTTCGCCGCGCTGTGGACGCTTCTGTACGCCGTGTGCCCGCAGCCACGGTACCGGCTGCCGGACTCAATCGCGACTCTCAACAACGTGACGTTCGAGCAGCGCATCGCGAAGAACAAGCACCAGACGATCCACGTGCTGTGGTGCCACGCGACGTGGTCGGCGCGGTGCTCGCAGCTGGCGCCTGTGCTGGCCGCGCTGGCGAAAAGCTATAGCCATACGAGGGTCAGGTTTGGCAGGGTGGACGTATCCAAGTTTCCGGGCGTCGCGGAGGGGCTCGAAGTTAGCATGAGCGCCGCGAGCAAGCAGCTGCCGACGATTATCTGCTTCAAGATGGGAAAGGAGGTGGCTAGGATCCCGCAGGTTGACGGCGAGGGGAAGGTGGATGCAAAGTGGAGTAAGGGTTTTACCGCGGCGCATGTGGCGCAGGAGTTAAGGCTGAACGAACAGTTGCAGACGGCTAAGCGGTGGGAGAAAGAGGCGCAGGAGAGGTATAAGAAGAGCAAGAAGAGGGAATAGGTGTTGTTTCGTGGTGCTAAAAAGGACAGCCCTCTACCATGCGCATTTCCGAAGCGAGAAGCGAGAAGCGAGAAGCAAGAAGCAAGAAGCGAAGCGATGACGCACCCGTGGCGCGAGTCCTGACGGGGGCGGGCACAACTCACACCTGCCCCTCACCCTTTCGCTCACGGTACAGAAAAGATGGTGCGCCGCACGCGTTGCACGTATCACATGGGTCAGCACGTTACAAGTCGTGGACTTTGTTGTATTATTCAGAGCAGAACACGGCACAAGGCACATGGCACGAACAGTGCATATTCGGGGAAATAGGAAAAAATGATGGATTAAGACGAAAGAGATTTTGCAACGTTTCCTCTCACTGCCTCGCAAATGCCGGCTACGGTTTCTCCTCCTTTCCTCCTACCCTTCGAAGGGTAGTTGCGGTACCCTTCCCTACTCGCGTAATATCCCAAAAGTGTCACACGACGAGGAGTGGCAGTAAGGACGAAGCCCGTGGCTTTACGTAAACCAGCTTGAAAGTGTGGGCGCTGCAAGATTGCAACCACCGCGCGCCACTGCCGCACGCACGCCGCACGCACGCGGCCGCTTGGCGGTGCGTGATTGGGCGATGTTTTTGCAAGCAAGGACGATTCAGCCAACGACACGTCGCCCTGCCTTCTCGCCTGTTTCATCCCTGCTGGCCCCTCACTGCTGGTCCTCACTGCTGTCGCGCAGTGACAGGCCCATCCCTCATGGAAAACGCCCCCGCTTCCCGGATGTCCCCTGCCTCAACCTCTTCAACCTCCACACTGAAGTAAGGAGTAAACATACGTTTACCCCTTCAGTGTGCAACGCGCTCACGCTCCGCCGCAGTAAACATACGTTTACCGCGGAGCGTGAGCGCGTTGAGCATCACGCTCATGTGGGAACACAGCGACATGGGGGAAGCCAAGCTTTCCACACGCCCTCCCCTCCTGATGTCGACGCCCCGCCCACCGCGCCGCACCCACCGCACCCCGCCCTCCTCATAACTCCATACGCGCCTTCGTATGCGCACCCCCTCCCTAAACTTCGCCCCCAGTGCCGCACCCCTCCCCCGAGTCACCGCCCCCGCCGTCTCCAGCCCCGCACATGGAAACCAGGGAGCGCACAGGCACACGCTGGTCTGCTGCGCGCCGCGCGCTACGCGACCTTCCCGCCGCCGTGCGCGCCCTCTTCCCGCGCTTCCGCGACGACCCAGACCCGCCGCGAGCGCCCCCAGACGTCGACGTGGACGCGGCCAGCGTCGCCGCGGACCTCGATGCCGAAGAAGCCGCCTTCCCCGATAAATCCGCCGAAGACCGCTTCGTGTACCAACCGAGCACCGTGTGGGAACGCCTTCTCGTAGGAGGGCGCGTCAAAAACCGCCTGAGTAGCAGTAAGTGCGTCCGCATACCCTACCGCGCGTGGTGTAAGTACCTGCTTATTCTTTTCCTTGTACTGCTCGGCGCGTTTTTTACCCCGCACTTGATGCCGAAGTGGTTCGGCTTTGAGTGGGCGACGCCGAAGGACTTGTGCCAGAATGCGGACGAGAAGATTGCCGCACTGAAGCAGCGCATTGAAAACCTCACCGATTTGCCGAAGCTGAAGAATTATTACGCGAGGCAAAAGTTCGATTTAGCGTGCATGAACTCGTCGGCGGACACGTTTTATCAAGCCCCAGACAGGTTCCAATGGCCGCACGAGTGCACGCCGGAGAAAGCCTCGGATAGCCTGGAGGACGAGGTTTGCGTCGGGCCGACCACGAAGAGCGTGTGCGACGACATCGGCGGCATCCGTAAGATCTTTGCAAGCCTTGCGCAGACGTGCAAAAGCATCACCGTGCCGAAAAAGTGCGTACAGACCGTCGACAGCGAGCGCACTGAGGAGCTTCTGAGACTGGAGCGCGAAGAGAACGCCCAGGTCTTCAACAAGACCGCCACGGAAACGCAACCCATCGTGCAGACGGCCAACGACAAGGTCACGGAAATCCTTAACCGCATCCTCGTCCAGGTGGACATCGCCTCTGATATCTACATCGCGTACAGCATCGTCGCGCTCATCATCGGCATGCCGCTCATCATCTACAAGCGCGAAAAGGGCTCGCGCATTCTCGGCGCCACTTTCGGTATGACTAAACTCACCTTCATCATCGTCGTCGTCGTGTTCTTGTCCATGTACGAGTCCTTCTTTCTCATCATGAAGGAGACAGACTTTGTGCGCATCTTTCGCAATTTTCGCAACGATCCTTGCTACGTCGACGGCGACTTTTCGCGCCGCCGCGTCAACCTCATCATCCACACATGCAACAACGTTACCCAACTGGCCACTAATAGTACTTATACACTTCAAGACATGGACGGAGTTTACTTTACGACGCGTCGCTTCGCACTCTGCAAAGACGCCACGCGTGAGCCAAGTGCGCATCCGCGCCAGGGCGACATGGACTCGCTCCGACACAGCTACCGAGATGGCGATAAAAAGTTTCCTGGCTCGTGCAACGCCACGTATCTCGACTCCGAAACGTCGACGGCTCCAGAAGACCCTGGTTTCTCCAAGTTGCAGGCACTGCTGGGTAGCGGGGTCGTGGCGCAACTGTTTCTCAAGTTTATCGTCACGTCGTGGCTTGTGCACATAATGGCGTACTGCGAGCCGATGATCATGCACAATGGAAAGGTGGAGATCTGGGACACCAATAGAAAGCCAACGGAGGAGAAGGGTGGGGAAGAAAAGGATGCGCAGGAGATGCCACTGAACGAAAGGGAAGCTGCTTCGGCGACACGGTTTGCCAGGGATAAGCATTTGCTGCCGGCGATTTTTATGAGTATACTGATGGTGGGGGAGGTGGTGTTGATCGCGTATAGCATGGTGGTGACGCACTCGGGGAGGAGCGACATGCTGACTACAGCAGGGAATACCGGTATGTCGACGGCGTTCACTTGCCCGTTTCCGGCGACGTAGAGCCAGAGTTGTGTGATGCTTCATGTAAATATAAATGAAAACAGGTCACCTCGTAGACTCTTATCCGTTCCTGACCAGCAATTACGCTGGTAAGGAACGGATTACGCTGGTCAGGAACGGATTACGCTGGTCAGGAACGGATTACGCTGGTCAGGAACGGATAAGAGTCTACGAGGTGACCTGTTTTCATTTATTATATCCGTGGGAGTCGGCCGATGCATTTGCAGGATCCTACTGCTTTTCAATAAGCCCCTCACCTTGGCCGTTCCGCCACGATTCAACCTCCAATACCAGGCATCCCGTTCCGCCCGCTCATTCCCAACATTTTCCGCAATCTCTACCTCTCCCAGTTCGGGCTCTTTGCATTGTCTAAAGGGCCGCAACACCCTACCGACCCGACTGTCACATCCGACGCATAAAGGCCGACTCCACCATGCCATTTTTGTCACTATCTACATCAGTACACTCACATCTCCTGTCGCCATGCACCTACCCAGCTTTCGTAGCCATGCCTCCCCGCCTCCGCCCGTATCCTCTATCGCCACCCCAGACCTCGAATCACAGACATCCCCGTCCCATACCCCGCGATTCGAATATGCGCCTGACAACTTACTTCAGCGCCTTCTTGTCAGTGTGCGTATTAAGAACAAACTCGACTCCAGCAAGATCATCCGTCTTCCCTACCGCGTCTCCTGCAAATACTTTCTCATTCTTCTCCTTTTCCTCATCGCAATTTTCTTTACGCCACAGCTCCTACCCCGGTGGATCGGCTTCGAGTGGGCCTCGCCGAAAGATCTCTGCCAAAACTCAGACAAGAAGCTCACGTCTATCCATGCGAAGATATTAAATCTTTCAAAGTTGAATGAAGGTGCTATCTTTCTCAAGGAACAAAAGGTTCATCTCTACTGTATGGAGACTAGCGCCGGGCAATTTTACCACGGGCCGAAAAAAAGCCCCCCACGCTTCCAATGGCCCGATGAATGTACTAGCGAGATCGCCCAGGTGTCTCTTATGGAGACAACCTGCGTCTCACAGGACGTCAACGTGTGCAAAACGGTGGGGGGCTTCACTGGCTTCCTACTCTCTGTAGGCGGCTCATGCGAGCAAACGCTGGGACCGGACCTATGCACCAATACGACTAACGCTGACCGCGCCAGCGCGCTGCTGCAACTGGAGCAACAGCGGGACAAAGACATGTTGCAGAACACTTCGCAGGTGGCTGAGGAGCCCATCGTGTCCACGGCCAATGACAAGGTAAACGAGCTTGTGGCGAGGCTTATGACACAGGCGGACTTGGCGAGCGATGTATTTATACTGTACAGCTTGACATCGATCGCCATTGGCGTCCCTTTGGTTGTTTATAAGAGGGAGAAGGGATCTAGAATTGTTGGGGCGACTTTTGGATTGACTAAGGCGTCGTTTGTGATGATGTTTATCATTGCTATGGCAATCTATGACTCGGTCAATGTGATTTCCAAGGAGACGGATTTTGCGAGGCTCTTTCAGAATTTTCTCAATGATCCTTGTTACGTAGATCCCAGGTTCTCCGCAAAGAGGGTTGAAATGATTGTGGAGGTTTGTAATAATATTTCCTACATTAAGAGAGAGAGTGACCATCTGCTGCAAAAGATGGACAGCGTGTACTATGATACTAGGCTGTTCGGTTTTTGCAAGGATGAGCGGCGCAAGCTTGCCAAACACCCCAATCTGAAAGCGATGAATGAGATGCGGCATCAATATCGTTCGGGTAACATTTCAATGCCCGGTATATGCAATGCAACTCGCTTGGATGAAGAGACGTCTATAGCGCCACAGGGGGAGGGGGTGTCAAAGCTGAAAGCGCTGCTCGGAAGTGGCGTCCTGGCGCAAGTCGTCCTCAAGTTTTTCGTGACAAGCTGGCTTTTGCATTTGATCGCGTTTCTAGAACCTCTAGTGATGCACAACGGCAAATTGGAAGTCTGGGAGTCAAAAGAATTACCACAGCTCACAGAGGAGGAAAAGAATTCAGTGACGAGGTTCGCTAGAGACAAGCACTTGTTGCCTCTCATTTTCTTTAGCCTCCTGCTACTTTTTGAGGTTGTGCTTATTATATACAGCATCGCAACTACGGTGAATAGCAGCGGAGACATTATCACGAGAGAGGAGTTTCCGCCGCTTGAGGTGCCGCACTTGGGGTCCTGTCCAACATCACTGGTTCAAACCTGATTGATCTTCCGTTACTTCAATCCGGGCTGGTGAAACAGCATTCTTGTGCCTGAGTTTATCGAGAAAAAGCGATTACATCATCATCGCCAGAATCTGTGGAAGACGGGGCGAAGTACGAGTCTAGTTTCCTAACGCTCTTAGACTCAATATCAGGAGTTGGAGAGTCTAGGGCGGATTCGAAGGGCCACTGGCTCTCGCTGAACATCGACTCCTGTTGGAAGAGAACTTGAACGTCTGCATCCACCGGCCATTTCCACAAATCGATTGGTCTTTTAATGTGGAAAGCGGAATGCCAATTTTCCAGCGCACAGAAGTATGCTGAAAGTTTGTGCATCGGGTGGGTCGATGTTGGAGACTGCCACCACTTGCACGTACGAATATACTCAATGGCCAGGTGACCATTTCTTGTAAAAGTAGCAACTTTGCTCACATGTTTAAACGATGTCGATATCGGCTGAGTTGACAAGCTATCACCTGAAACCACGCATCGCCATCGAAAGGGAACATGAGCTTCGAACAATTGCACCATTGCAGGGTTCATAACTTTCATTGCTCCAAACGTGTAGACACTGCTCTGACGACCTTGATCAGTAAAACAGCGCATACTGAGGTCTAGACTACAAAGTGTAGCAACCGCGCCACCTGATCCATATCCTGTTACAAATATCGGCCTTTGTCGTTGACGTAGGAGACTGGATACTTCCCGAAGAATATTTCCCTGTACAGAGCTGTAAACTGTTTCAAAGCCAGCATGAACTCTACACTTTCGAAACAAGCGATTATCCTTAGCAGATAACCCTTTCACCCGCAGCACATCCAACTCCATGCACTTTCCGGTTAGTGATCTCCCTAGAAATGTCTTCGATAAGGGAAGCAAATAGCTGTGTTTCAAGTCGTCTGCCGAGACCGGTTTGAAGGCAACAATGATTCGATCTACACCTTGAAGTAGTATCGCGCCGATATTTCCGCCCCTAGGAGCGATCACTGAGTGCAACGCATACTTTGGACGCCCAAAATCAGAAGGCTCTCGCACCCCGCCTTGCCCACCCGAGTTCACAGTTGCCAGCCAGGCCATATTGAAAAGAAGCGTTGCTGTCTCCAAAGAAAACGTGTTCTTCTGAGGCACAGGGAACTCGGTTAGAGGATTCCTTTCATCAGAAACGCGATAGACAAGGTCATTGCGTCTTCGGGGAGAATCGCCCGGGAAGATTGCCGACATAAGATCCCACATCTTTGCAATAATGCCAGACTCGTTCCATGAATGATGAACATAAAATTGTGCAAGCGCATACGCTGTGACTGTTAATGAAACTGCAGAATGACCGAGTGGTTGGGATAAGATAAGATTTTCCCTCCCCTCTATCATATATTTTCCACGGCTAGGAGCCACCAGTGCCATCATCAGACTAACAGAGAGTATGTTGAAAAGCAAGAGGACAGAGCTATGTTGAAAAAATCTTAAGGCAATGATGATCTGATGGACGGAAGTATTGGAAAGGGATGCCAGAAAATTGGTCTGCTTTCTCAGATCTCGGCCGAGGGCGAGGAAGATGGCCAGTTCCAGTATACTCGTCACTGCCACCGCTGTTACATCCCTGACATTGATATGAGTCCAATGGCTCTGCACAACCATACCCAGCAACACAAACACGTTTTGCAGTGGAAGGGGCTTGAGGTGAATCATGAAAACAAACGCAGTAACCAGACGTAGCGTTGCGTATATCGAGCATAGAGAAATATGAAAAAAGGGAAGTTTTGGGTGCTCGATATCCATGTCGACGTTGTGTACCGGAAGTGTAGACTGCCCGCATGTAAATGGATAAACCCAAAGATAGCACATAATAATTGCCACACCAAACGCATTGCTTGTGTCGGCACAAAGCAGTAAAAACACATTTGGAAGGTCATTCTCTCCCGTAATCTCGGCAGCGCTTCGCCAAGGTAAGCTCAATAGAACGGCAGCGAGGAGCGGCCAAGTGGATGCACGCTGGAGTCGAATGAGAACACATCTTTCCTCCTCCTCTTCAACCGGCTCCCTTGACTTGGCCAGACGGCAGGCTGAAGCAATAGCGGAAACGAGAAAAATTGCGCTCCCGAGCCCTATCTCAATAAATATAAGCCAATTTGGTATTGGCTTCGGGACAGCTCTGCCTCCACTTCCGCGGATTGATGGGAGCGAAAGTATACCAACTGCGGTTGCGGCAAGTATTGCTGATAAAAGCGAGGCCATAACTGCGGATGTTTTAAGGAGACTCATTTCACGCTTTGTCATTTCGAGCAACTTGATTTTTGAATCCATTGTGGGAGAGTTCCAGTTTTAAAAGGGTGGTAGGGAATACTGCAAACTTAAATATTGTCTGCGACGGAGAAAGAAAAATGAAACCACAAGAGGACGTTGCATCACACCAGGGGGGAACTCACGAATAGAAAACCATCATCGTCATGTGTTGGCAAAGCAGGCGAACACAACAGATGGTCGGTTTTCCAGACTTACGAACTCAACTTAAACTGGTTTGTTCTTCACTTTAATAAACCTGACCGTCGAACTTCAATGCAAGTCCAACCTACATTTGGCATCGCTCGAATGAAGTATCTGCTTCATTCCATCAGCTTGGGCTTTCGCAAACAGCCTGCGCGGGGATCGAAAAAGGTTGTGATGCTAGAATTTGCATTTAGAATATTTCAAATGCTGTGACCAATGACAGAATTCCCTTCGACACGTTGCCAAGAGCAGGCAACACATATTTCATGCATCCATCGTTATGCATTCCTTCACAGGCAGCAGGACTTATCGAAGTTGCGCAGCAATTAGCTGTGCGCCCTCAAGGGCGATTCCGGGGGCATCTCTGCTTAGAAGTGGGCTTCGCGTAGAGTCGCGACAAAAGTCTTTCCATGCATCCTGCCAGAAGAGGTTTGAATAGAAAACGCACATCCTGGCAGAGCTCTGACTATTTTCCCCGCGATCGCCCTTGTACGCAGCGAGAGGATCGAGAGGCTCGAAAACGCGATCCATGGAGGCGCAGAAGGTTTTAAAAAATGAAAAATCTTTGTCAAGGAGCTGCTGCCGCAGATGCACCCACTTGACACACTCACCGCGCTCGGAGTCGTGCTGCACCAAGGTGTTGAGTAGAGCGTTTATCGTGGCGCCGACGGCGGCATGCGAGGGCGGCGGAGAACCTGTTCTTCTACGTTTGCGGGGTGAAGGATGAGGTGACGGAAGGCGCGAGATGACCGGAAGTGATATCGTAGATTGGGTGCCTTTGGATGCTGTCGGAGAGTGACGAGATGAGTAATCCCTACAGTTTTTGTCAGCTAGAGGAGATCGTGCGAAAATCCTTTCTTGGCTCGTCTGTGAAGAGTCTAGCGGTAGACTCTGGCTTGCAGCTATATCTCTGAGGTCGTCTGTTACGGTGGCACTCGGGTCCGGCCAGTCGTCCAGAGAAAAGGCATCCTGGTCCGTATCATCAGGGTTAAATGCGTAGGGATCAGGACTCTGGGAATCTTGTTGGGACGGGTTGTGGCTCTTGCCAGTGTCTAGCGGTATTGGAGATTGCACGAGCTTGCCCCCGTCTTCTAAACGGGCACCCTCGTCTGCATTGACGTGGAGCACCTCCTCTACTTCAGTCCCATGCTGAAATGTGTCACTCCTCTCATGTTTCCGATCGCTTGCATCGCGAGCAATCTGAGTTGGCGACAAAGTACAAACCTGGGTACATCCATCCGGACGCCTACTCCTTCGGGGGTAGCTGGGGTGGTGTGCTTTCAGAGCGCGCAGCAGGGTTTTCAAGGAGCTGTACGGCAGCTCGTCGTTCGCTTGGGCGGCAAGGACATCGCTGAAGCGCAGCAAGGCCATGGGAGACATGGTGAAAAGATACTAGAGAGGGTGAAGTGGACTTCGATGTGCGGGAGGAGAGAGACCGCGGGATTGCTGGGATGCACTCGTTTTTTAATAGAGGGTTTGCGCGGGTATTTGATTTGTTTAAACCAAAGGCTGTGTGAAAACGAGAGACCTCTGATCCGTGTCGCAGCGTTTCGAAGTTTTAGGATTCTTTTCGCTTATTTTTTGCCATGTCCCCGGCCCCCCCATGCATCAGTCCGCCTTTCTCCCACCCCCCTTCCCCCCCCTTCCCCCCCCCCCCCCTCTTCCCCATCCCCCGCGGGATCCATCTCTTCATCCTTTTCTATTTGATCCACCTCGCTAGCCGCCCGCCCCACCCCGCCAATTGTCCATCTGCTGCCGCCATGTCGTTCGGCTTCGGCGCCGCGCCGGCAGGCGCACCTCCCCCCACCTTTGGTGCCCCTGCTCAGCCCTCGCTCTTCGGCAACACCCAGCCGCAGCAGCAGTCGGCGCCCTCGCTCTTCGGCGCCGCGCCGGCCTCGCAGTCCTTATTCGGAGGCCAACAGTCTCAGCCCGTGTTCGGGGCGCCCGCTTCACAGTCTGTTTTCGGAGGGGGCGCGTCGCAATCGCTGTTCGGCGCGCAGTCCTCACAATCGCTGTTCGGCGCGCAGTCCTCGCAATCGCTGTTTGGCGCGCAGTCCTCGCAGTCACTGTTCGGTGCGCAAGCTTCGCAACCACTGTTTGGGGCCCAATCTTCGCAGTCGCTGTTTGGTGCACAATCGTCACAATCGCTTTTCGGTGCACCAGCGTCGCAGTCGCTTTTCGGCGCGCCTTCGTCGCAATCGCTATTTGGTGCAACCCCAGCACAAGGCATGTTTGGCGCCACGCAGCCTACATCTCTGTTTGGCGTCGGACAAACTCAACAACAAATGCAGCACCCACAGCAACCGCAGCAACCGCAACAACCGCAGCTGCCGCGAGCCCTTATGGAGCTGATTGACCGTTTAAACCCCATGCGCAACGAATCAAGCATGCACGCCGCTCTCTATAATGTCGTAAGTCCATCTGACGTGTCCCGCTACGGGCGACCAGCGGCAATGAACGAAAGTCTGTGGGACGCCGCCGTGGCAAATAACCCAGATCCGTCGCGCATGGTGCCAGTGCAAGCAAATAATTTTGACGACCTTCTACGAAGATCCGAGATGCAAACGCAGCGCATCCAAGAACATGGCGCCGTGCTTTCGCAGATCGAGGAAGGACTGAGTCAGATGGAAAGTGCAGTGGAGGGCGATGTGACTACAAGGCTGGCGACATACCGAAGACGGCATCGCGAGCTGGCGAGAAAGTTGCTGCGCCTAGCGAGTGTAGTGGATATGGAGACCGCGCGGGGCGATCGAGCCACGCTCACAGTGGGTGAGGCAGAGAGGAGGAAGAAGGTAGTAGCCATTGCTAGGGCGCTAGCGGAGCCCGCCGAGTTTAAGGACAAGCTGGCTGACTTGGTTGAGTTGGGGGAGAGCCATGTGCTAGAGAGGAGGGCTAGAAAGGACGTGGAGATTAGGGATGTTCGGGCTGCTGGAGCGATCAGGAATTTGTTAGGTGAGCAGCTTAAGGGAATTGAGCATCTGGCGAAGGTTTGTGAGAAGGCGAAGAGGGACCTGGATATTGTGACGGAGGGCGTGGGTGAACGGTAACAATGCGTTCCTGGTTTGGCTTTCTCCGCTCATGGAGTTGCTGAGGCGGGAGCGGGGAAGGCGGAACGGTGGGGAGAGAAGCTGGGATGAGCAAAAAGGCATGCGGAGACCACACTGTTGGTTGGGACAATATAAGGGCGAGTGTTAAACAGCCATGCTTTCGGGCTGCGAGCACCACCTAAGAAGACGAATGGGTTATGGGCCATGCAGGTGTAAAAGATATGTTGCCGTCGCAGAAAAATTTGGCATGTCGCATACTGTACGTGTACGTACTTATCTGAGGAGCTTGCATACAGCAAGCGAGCGTTCGGCAACAGGGCAAACTACTCCCCACGCGACCCGTGTATCCTGCGTGATGTTCTCATCGGTGTAGCTCGAAAGAGGCTACAGCACAAGTTGCGAGTTTTGTCATCATAGTCACATGAGTAAGTGCAAGTTGTGTTCTGTTGCAGCAGAGGCTTGGCCATATCATCTTCTCTGTCGGCTAAAACGACAAGAGTGACGGCTAGAAAAACAACTGTTTGCTCCTCTTCGCACGAAACATTGTTGTGATTATGTGGCGGGCATACACGCAGCAGTTGTTCGTGGAGGCATGAGAGAGCAATGAAGGGCATGCGCAAGTACTGTAGTAATTTGCGAAGCAATGGTTTAGCGTGAGGGGTGTGCCCCCTCGCTGATGGGAGCGTCCAAGCAAGCATGTCAGATGGGTTGGGCTCATGATGGCCTGGCGCAGTAGTAGGCATGACTTGGGCAGTGTAGACGCATTGTGGACAGATATCTGCCGCGACCAATGCACTGTAGGCGCAGCTCTCTGCTGGCATCAGCAGTGTGGTGAGATTGAAGTGGGGTGCGTATCGGGGATATATTGATATCGGAAAGTCAATTTGTAAGTGGAGGATGCGATTGGATAGGGGCTTGTTGGACCCACGTTTCAGGTGAACTTCAGAAGAAGCTTGGATGCCCAACACTCGCCCAACAAGTGCGGTGTTGCAGAAGCATTGTTGCCAACCCGTCGCCGAAGTGGATGTATGCATGAGTGGCCCCACTGCTCACGCCTTCTGGACCACGAAGCGGCGCCCGTGCCTGGTCAACGCTGTTGGTTGTGGAACTCGACGCCCTAAGCTTATCATTTACCCTTACCTCCGAAGGGTATCATTACCACCTCCTAAGCTTATCACACGTGCACCGGAAGCGAGGGGCGCCAGGGGACAGGTCGTAACCTCCCTTTTTAGGTCTATCAGTTGTTTCTGCGTGCGGCTATTGGCAGTTGGGGAATACCCCTTGGATGTTCCCCTTCAAAAAAAAAAAAATAAGGGATGTTTCAAGGCAGGGGCGGGCGCACTCGCTGGACCATGCGCATTGCGCCCCCCTGAAATTGTGGGGACCTCGAGAGACAGACTGTCGGTGTTGATGGCCAGCCGCGCCCGTGTGATGGCTTTGGTTTTTAAGATCACAACGTTTGTTTTTGTTTTTAAGAACGACACTGGTCCTGCAAGTGCTGCATGACGATGTCGTGAAGCTGTACTTTTGCACGTCAATATACTCAGGAACGGTACCCTTGTTTTCCTCCTGCTTCAAGACTGTTACCAGTAGTAGAACTCTCCAAGCAGGCATGGAAGGCAAGCACGTTGTTGGTTGTGAAAGCTGCAGTGCTGGTCTACAGTCATCCCTGGCTGTCGCTCTCAGCACCTACCATGGACTGGGGTTAAGAATGCGATTCATGATCATGGTGATCGAAAGCGTTGAGAAGGGATGTGTACGTCGGACTTAGTGCTGTCCCCGTGTAGAAGGACGTTAGGGGTTGCTGAGTCAGGCGGACGCGACTTGCTGTACAGTAATGGTTATCGATGGATATAGACGTTGAAAGAGGTAGCATCTGCAGAGATCGATAGGACGGGAGGTCGCAATTTCGCTTGCAATATTGCAGCGCAGGGATAGGATGTTTGCGCTGCGATGCAGTGCAGCATATGTAAGAAAGCGGGATGCCAGGAGTGAGGAGTGAGCCATTACTTGTAGAAGTAATGTTAGACATTGCCAAAGACAAGCAAGTGGGGTGGGCACGACAAGCGCGGAGATGTACGTTCACGAAAGGCTGGGGATGATATTCGAAAGGATGCCGAGCGAACGGTGGCTGGCGGAGAAGGTTGGGGGGGTAACGGGGTACCCAAGGGTACTTACCCAAGGCCCAAGGGTACTTACCCAAGGGTACTGTAAGGTGGAAAAGCATGCAGTACTGTAGCCTGGCGCCGGATGTGCTGGTGAGCTTCCGTGAACGCTCGGAAAAAACAAGAAATGTCAGAAGTTGCAAAAGTGTAAGCGGGGTGTAGGCCGGCTGGAGCCCATTATTTTACTGTGTGTCGTCGACAATGGTGGGCATGATTATGCGTGACATGGGCCTCCAGAGATTCTATTGAGCACCCTTACGTCAGGCCTGTGCATGCGGATGTAAACATCGTTTTATACAGGTACAGCTGCAACCCTATCGTGACTTTTCACACTGCCCGTGTAATGCTGTAGGTTGAACAAATAGTTTGGCAGCGTAAATATATCGGCGGCTTCCATATTTAGTCCAGTGTCGCCCGCACCGGAATACGAGGTTCTCACCCACATCTGCTAACGTCATCTCATCCACTCCCGCTAACCCCTGCTGCCTACTCCGGCACTTCCCTTTTTGTCTTCATCACACACTTCCCCCTCCGGCATGGCTATGTGGCATCATAAGCCCGAACCGGTCTTCACGAACCCCGTGCCCCCATACTATCGCTCCACCGTCAAACCAGGCCGCCAGCCCACCGCCCAAGATGACGCCTCCTCGTATCGCTCCGCCATACCCGCAGCCACTCACGCACGGCCCCGTTCCGACCCCCGCCGCTCCGCTCACACCCGCCATGTACTGGGCCCGCCATCGCAACACAGTAAAACCTGTCGCGGAGACCCTCCGCCCCTGCAACATCGTTCTCACCACTACCAATACCCTCCCCATCATATCCCAGACCTCTTCCCTTCCCCGCTCCGCCCCACACGTGCTCCCACACCGTCTTTTGTCGGAACCATGTCCAAGGACAAATTTATGCGCGTCTTAGCCACATTTCTCGACATTCACGCCGGCCACAACCAAAAATTCATCTCGCTACCTACATACGCAGAGCCGGAGAGCGTCTTCTTCTCCGTCTCGCGCCCGGAAATTCCTACCACCGAGTACGTCAAACGACTAGTCACCTACACTGAATGCAGCCCTGCTGCTTTCGTCGTCATGATGGTCTACCTCGACCGCATCGCCGAGGCCAATGGAAAGCTCCGCGTCACCCCGTTTAACATGCATCGCCTTCTCGTCGCCGCCCTCACTCTTTCATGTAAGATGCTTGACGACCGATGCTTTTCTAATGTACACTATGCCAAAGTTGGAGGCATTCCCACGGCAAAGGAAATGAACAGGCTTGAGCTCCAGTTTATGAAGTATGTCGACTACCATCTGCATGTGGATCCGCACACATACAATCAAAAACATGTTTCGCTCGAGCACCAACTCCCGCTCTCTCCAGTCTCGCTGTTCGAAGGCGCTACCGCGCTATCCTCGGGCCCTGATCTGGACGACGTCCACTCCATGCCAGTTCCCGCAAACTACGCATGCGGTGTGACCGCCCCGGCCCGTATGCCCACGCGCCACAGGTCTGCCCCCCTCACCTCTCACACCTCACACATGACCACCCGTACGCATCACACCCATGCACCCGCACATCCCTACCCTCATATGCAACCGATTGCAGACCCCGCCCTGGCGGAATGGTACGGTCCTCAAGTCTCGACCACCTCCACCACCGCCTCGAAATCGTCATACGACACTCATTATTCACACCAGTCGTCGCAGCACCAAAGCTTAAAATCGAAGGAGCTCACACCTTGACCCCGACCAAGGCCCATCTAGACGCGATATGCCACACAAAATATTGTAACAAATTGAAACCTGCATTGCAGCCGGTTGGAACCCCCCCCCCCAGTGGGATCGGACGGTGGTTTCGTGCACAGTTTTTGAAGATGGATGCTACACTGTGCTGGTCGCTTGTTACACGTTCGGCAACCTATCCTAATTGCTCCAACATTTGGCGGCCGATGGTGCCCTGATCGCAAACGGTAAGCGTGGCGCAAGCAGTGCCCGTATACAGCTGTTGCTGTTGCCAGTTGCCAAAAGCGTAACACTTGATTAATACTGAACGACACACAGAGGTTGAAGATGGCGGTGAAGATTTTCTTGAAGATTAACTTCCCACGACTTGGAGAAGAGAACAATGGGTGTGCGACGTCTGGAGTGGATTGGGAAAGGGAGCAGCGGAGGAGCCGTGGAAGAAGGTACTACCGCCTGGAGTACCCGTGAGTGTGGGGAGGCAAGTTGATGGCTTGAGGAAGTGGATGAACGTGGCAGCGAAGTTCCTGAGGTCAGGAAAGAAGAGGCTGACGGAGAAAGTCGCCGTGGTCAGCGATGGAGGTGGGCTGCCTGAGTGGGGTTTGTGAATTGGCGACAGAATACGCAGTGAGTTGAGCTACATTTATAGAAACGGAGGGTGTTACACTGAGACATTGGTAGATTATGCTGAAAAAGTGAGGATCACGGCAGGAGTTAATGAAACCGCCGCCCTCCCGATCCATCCCCTTCTACATCTCTCCTCTGTGTGAAAACCAGTGTGTAGAGTGGGGGTGGTTTTCAACGCACTTCGTATGTCTTGGTGAATGAGTCTTTATTTGTATGTAGAGCATGGGGCAGTTTGACTGCCGTAAATCACAGCGCTGTCGAATAGGGGATAACGAGGGCGATGGAAATGACTGGCGATGGATTAATCGAGAACGTCCCCGCAACCAATTTCTGCTGAAATCCCTTTTGGCGCGACCTGGACGCGTAAGCTGGACGTCTGGTAAGGATAAGACAGACGAAGTCTAGGGGTAGTAAGGGCTGTCTGTTGCGACACATTTCACAACGAGACCATGCCGCAGCCAGAAGGCATTCA